TGGTCTTTTTGAAGCAGGGTCTCCCTGTGATCCCCAGCTGTCCTGGGACTCACTATGTGGACCAGGCTGGCCTTGAACTCACAGAGATCCGCCTGCCTCTGCCTCCCAAGTGCTGGGACTACAGGCATACGCCACCATGCCCAGCAATAATTGACCTTTTAAGAAGGGGCTGGAGAGATGGCTCAGCAGTTAAGAGCACTGGCCACTCTTACAGAGGACCTGGGTTCAATTCCCAGTGCCCACATGGTAGCTAACAACTGTCTTCAAATCCAGTTCCAGGGGATCCAATACCCTCTTCTGACCTCTGTGGGCATTGCACAACATGGATACACTTACACACATGCAGACAATACACTTATATACATAAAATAAAAATAATAAATAAATTATTTGTAAAAACAAGGTATCACATGTAGCTCAGGTTGGACTCAAACTTGAGATCCTCTTGCCTTTATCATTCATGTGCTGGGATGACAGGCACACACCACCACACCCTGACGGTTTGTGTGTCTATGTATGTTTTTGTGTGGATATTTGGGGGGGGGGGATGCTGGAAACTGAACCCAAGGATTTATCATGTAAGACAAGGACTACTCTACCACTGATATATACCTAGCCCTCCTTTAACCCTTACAAATTGTTTCCTTCAGTTATCTGAGCTATAGTTGTATTTGTAATAGCTGGCTTAAAGTATTTGTCTGGGCTCTCTCAAAACTTTCTAGCAACCATTTAAGCCATAAACATAAGCCAGGGGCTGGAAAGATTACTCAGCAGTTAAGAGTGCTTCTTGCTCTTCTAGAGGGCTCAAGTTCAGTTCCCAGAACCCACATCAGGTGTCTTACAACCACCTATAACAATTACACAGTTGCCCCCCTTCACCGGCCTTCAGTCAGGGTTAGAGCCCCTTGAAGTCCTCAGAATGCAGGCTGACAAGAACAAGGTCTCGTTGGGACTTAACTGCTGGGAGTGTTGGTCCAATCCCTGCTGTGCTCAACAGAAGAGAGTCACGAGTCCCATCCGTCCTCTGTAAGACCAGGGTGGTCCATAGAGGTCAAGACAACATGTTCCCAAAACACCTCAGCATCCCAACAAGTCCAAAATGCCACCTCTCTCTCTGAGCACAGCAAAAGAGACAATCATTTTTTAAAAATTCATACAAACCAAACTTTATTTTGCTATCTTGGAAATTAGCAAGGAAATCACCACAATGTGTGTGGGTGATGAGCTGAATCCTCTTCCACTGTGCAATCTCACCAGGACCTCACAACCACCCCTAAGATCACTGTGAATCACCTGATGGACACTTGTGGAGGTGACTCAGCTTCTGTTTCCATGTGGATTCATTCCACCTCCCTGCTTCCTTGCTCCTGGTCCTTGGTACTCAGGGGCTGCAGGCCTTCCATCAGATGCAGATCCTTTCATGTCCTCAGTTGTAAAACAAGGGCGGTGTCTGCCCCTGCCATTCTAGAGGCATCCTGATGTGGACAGAGAGGTCTCTCCTTGCCACACTGGCCACAACCCAACTGCTTGGGAGTCACTGAGCCTTCCTCATTGCTGACCAGTCTTGCAGACCCATGACCAGTCTTGATGACCTACGTCCAGGCAGAGGTTTCTCCCTCTGCAGGGGCGTGCCCCAGAGCTAGGCCCCATCTGACACCCATGTTGAGAAGCCTTTTTCTCAGGAGCCTTCCCCAGTCTTCAATGATGGCACTGCAACCACTTCCTCGATCTGCCAGCGACACACGGGGCACCTGGCTGTGTCCCTGAAGATGTGCCAGGCGCAGGAGGCACAGAAATGTGAGTGGCCACAGGGCAGGAGGCGGGTGTTGGCAGTGTGGTGGAAGCAGATGATACACTCTTCCCCAGGTGTGGCTAGAAAAGGAGACAGCACAGGTCATAGGTACCCAGGGCTGGTGAGCCACCAACTCATGCTCGGAAACACAGGGCAGGGAAGCTCAGCATCCTGAGAAATAGGCCCCTGAAAACCACAGTGTTCATGTAGCCCCTTATCCAGGCTGTTGCTTCCTAGTTTTAGCAACCCATAGCCTGAAATGATCAAATGGAATATTCCAGAAAAAAAATCATGAAGAATTAAATAATTGTTATTGCTCTGTGTTGTTTAATTGTTCTACTTCATTGTTAATAATTATTGTCAATCTCTTACTTTGCCTAATTTACAAATCTGAGTATGTGTATACAGGAACACACAGCATGCAGGACCACCTGGGTTCCACCATCATGGAACCTCTTGAAACAAATCCTCATAGAATACAGGGATGTAACATAACTCTACTTTGAATAAGAAAGAAGGGGGAAGTCCACACATTTTCCACATATACATCAAAGAATTAAAGTACAGGGAGGAAACCCACCCAACTAATGGGTGAGTTTGCGCTCTCTCTCTCTCTCTCTCCCTCTCTCTCTCTCTCTCTCTCTCTCCCTCCTCTCTCTCTCTTTGAGACAGGGTAGCCCCAGCTGGCATGGAACTCACTACCTGGACTAGCCTGGCCCTAATCTCACAGAGATCTGCCTGCCTCTGCCTTCTGAGTGCTAGGATTAACAGCATGCACCATTGTGCCTGTATAGCAACTTTTTTAAAAATCCCATAATATTATTTCTATTTGGTGAGCCTTCATAGTGAATGCAGCTTTGGGGGTAGTACTGGGAGCTGATACTAGGACTTGACACGTGCTAGGTAAGCCTCTACACCAGGGCTCTATCTTCACCCCACTTTTTAATTTTCTTTTTTGAGACAGGGTCTCATTTGCCGAGGCTGGCCTCAAACACACTTTGTGGCAGAGGACAACCTTGGACTTCTGATATTCACTTCTACCACTACTGTTTTTATTCAGTGTTGGGAATCAAAGCTAGGCTTTGGGCATGATAGGCAAACACTTTACCAAATGAGCTACATCTCCAGACTTGGGCCGGGGGGCGCAACTGTAGACATAGTGTCTTCCTCTGCCTCTTTGTACCTTATTTTTCATTGGTTCATTTGTTCTTTTTTTAAAAAATGTTTTTATTAATTTTCTTTTATGTGTATGAGTGTATCACCTGCATGTGGGTAAGCACACCCATGCTGTGCAATGCCTGCAGAGGTCAGAATAACGGGAGTTATGGACAGTTGTTAGCTGCCATATGGGTGCTGGGAATTGAACCCAGGTTCTCTGGAAGAGCAGCCAATGCTCTTAACCTCTGAACTATCTCTCCAGCACTGCAGCCTTCCCAAGCCCAGTCCACCCCACTGGGGTCCTGGGACACGTACTCACCCTCAGGCACAGCGTTCTCACTGGGGATGGAAGTGGTGGCTTTGGGATCTAAGGCAGAGAGGAAGGTTCAGGGCCAGGCCAGCAGCTCTGGGAGTTCCCTCCCACACCACCCTGTAACAGCAAGCACCTCTTCTTTCTTCTCTCATGGCCTCTTGGGATAGTAGAGACCCTGTCCTGGCCAGCACTCCTGCAGCTTAACCCAGCTGAGCACTCTCACACTTTTATTGTTTTTGTTTGCCATGTTTGTGTTGGTGGACTCCTACTTAAACTGCAAAGCCCCATGCAAATGTTTCCTCCTTTGTGAAAGGTGCTGGTCATATTGTATCATCCTTTAGGTCAAGTCTGCTGTCCCTACAGCTAGAGCTTTTGCCCATTTCATGTCTCCAGTCCTCATCCTGACAGTGGGCACTGAACGTGGGCTGATGGAATAACTGAACATGAAGGAATGAATGGTTCTACCAGGCGCTCCGCACACCCAAGATTGTCTCACCCAACAGCTCAATGGCCTTCGTGGTTCCATACACATCCATCACCGCCCAGAGCGGGGCGCCCACCAGCACGTCTTTGCGCAGCAGGAGCGGGCGGCCAGCGTTGACCTTGGCGAAGAGCCAGCCCCGGCGGTTCACCCAGAAGCAGACCACGTTCCCCGCGCGCACATAGCCCTCTGGGAGCAGCGCCGCCCACGTCGGGCTCTGTTCCTCCAGGTCTGGGCACACGAAGGGCGGCAGGCAGGCTGTGGTCACGTGTGCGGGGTCCAGGCGGGTGAAGCCCACTCGGAGGCCACCGCACCAGCCGTCCTCGTGACGCAGTACACGCAGCGCCACACGCTCTCCAGGCCACACGGGCCGCTGGCTGAATACGATGCCATCATGGAACGTGGCGCACCTGCGAGCAGTGCACCGCAGTGTGTCCAGATGCACCTGCGCGCCTGTGGCGTCCCCGTGGAAGCTAAGGGCCTCCCGGGGTGCCTCCGTGTCTGTGGGACAGAGTGGGGAGCCGTCAGTGACAGCCAACTTAACCCTCTGGCTCTCCAGGGAACTCCTAGTACCCTGGGCCACTTTGGCCTTCTCTTGGGGACCATTTCCATCCCTCCCAATTCCCTGGAGCCACCTTATCCTCCACCACGACCATCCCCAAATCACCTCGTTGTACAAGCTCCCCACCTCCTACCCGCGGGAGACCTTCTCAGAGCCCAGCCTGGAGCTCATTCTGCCCCCCCTCCCCAGCTTCTCGCCCTTCTACTGAAAATGAAAGGAATACATATCTATCCTGGCTCTATCTAAACTCAGGCCTAAGCCAGATCCTCTGGAACTTGGGTCAAAGACGTTGTTATCTGCCATGTGGGTGCTGGGAGCCGAACCCAGGTCCTCTACAAGAGCATCCAGTGCTCTTAGCCGCTGAACACCTTGAAGCAGTTGGTTCTCTCCCTTCACCTTTGAGTTTGGGGTCTGGAACTCAGGTTGTTTGGCTTAGTGGCAATCACCTTTGTCCACCGACCCACCTCACCAGCCTCAGGTGAGCTTTATTATACTCATGTTCTCACAGTCCTGGCGTTAGCCTGGGGGAGCTGGGCTGACATGCCACCTGGGGCAGGCTCTGGCAGGTGGCCTGCTATGGCTGTTCTTCCCTCTGTTTCTCTGATCTCCTTTTCCCACAGGTGGCCTGGACCAGTCCTGCCCCTCTGCCCCCAAGGATGACTTCCTGGTCCTGGGAAAGAAAGGGACTCGGAAGTTTCTCCCAGGGCAGGAGTTCGGGCTGGAAAGTGTCCAATGGCTGACTTAGGTCCAGACAAGGCCTCAAGTGGACATGGAGCAGAGGGACTTCCCACAGGAGGGCACTTGGCAGCAAGAAGGGAAAGTTCTCACAGGGCAGCCCTTCCTCTGTCCTGGTTCTGAGAGAGCTGGAGTTTCCTGACCAGAGCAGATGGCAGAACCCCATGCTTCCCCTTCAAGGGGGCTTGCAGGGGTGGGAGGAACCTGATGACTGCCAGTAGAAAAGAAAAATCAGAAATGGACCCCAACCCCAGAGAGAGTCCATCCCCACCAGCCTACTGTCTCCTGCTCTCCTTGCTGACCACAGGCCTGCCTGCTGCATTCTAGCAGAGTTAGGCATAGGACTGGGGTCCAAGCAGCAAGTGGGAGCTCCTGGTGCTGCTAGCCAATGGCCATCCCTTTACTCAGCTGGGTCACTGCCCCCCTTTTGGTGTGGGGAACTCAAGAGAAGCCCTGGGACAGGGTTAGTAAGAGACCTGGTCAATGGCCAATATAAGGGGCAGATACTAGAGATGGTGACCAGGCCAGAGAGGCAACAAGAGCAGTACTAGGGCCAAGTAGGAGCCTCAGTTTTGTCTCATACAGCCCCAATGGAAAGGGTTCATCCCCTTTGAGTCAGGAACTGTGACAGCCTGTCTCCCAGCTGTGGGCAGGGTGTTTGCTTGGCCACAGCCCCATCTCCAGTACAAGCCTGGTAGAACCTGTTGTGGGGAAAGGAATGAAGGCCAGCTCACTGCCTCATCCAATTCCTGATAGGGAGCCAAGGAACTGGTTGGCAGGGAGGCACTCCAGGTAAAGGAGGGGGATCATCCCCAGGAATTGCCCCAGTGGGTGCATTAGTCCCCTGGCACCCCAGGTAAAGCAGGCCATGACCTGGTTGGCAACTTGAGTTGGCAAAGCTCCACACCCATGCAGGAGTCCTTCCAGCGACCTATGGAATCTACGTTCTCCTGTCACTCCAGCTAGAGAAGGGGAGCTGAAGGGATCCACAGGTCACTAGGTGGTCAGAACACTTGAGAGCTGCCTTCTGTCAGCTGCATGCTCAGGCTGTGTAGTCCCTTCCCCGGGTAGCCTCTGGACAACAGCCTGGGAGTGGCTCCTGCAAGGTGTCCCCACAGGTAGGCAAGGGGCTTCTTGAGGCTGGGGCTCTATACCCTCTTATTTGGTTGAGTTGGTTGCTCACTGCTTAAGGCCAGGGTTGAGTAGGACTGAAGGCCACCTTCACCCTGCCAGGGCCTTCAGGACTTTGTCTACCCCAGAAGACCCTCCCCTCCCTTGCACAGAGCTCTGCTGCCTGAATTTGGAGCTGGCTCATAGTATTTGATCCCCACAGTGAGGTTCATCAAAGGGGTGGACACTACCTCCACTCTGCCTTGGCCCTCCCACAGATACTTGTTCTCCTACCCTTTGACTAGACAATCTGGCACATCCCACTGCTGGGGTGGGGAATGGCAGAGCTGGGCACAGGCTAACTGTGGCTCTCTAAGCAGGCCTATCTCAGTGCAATTCAGAACACTCTCTGCTCAGAGGTGGCCATTCTTGTTATGGACCTCATTTTCCTAAGGCCCCATGAGTTGCTGTGGGAGACCCTCTCTGATGATCTCACCTACCTCCACATTCCTCCCTGCTGCAGGGAGGGGGTATTGTCAGGCTGGACCTGGGTTGCTAGGAAGTTTGGAACACAAACTGTGTCCTTGGTAAACATCTCCAGCCCTGGACAAGAGGAGGCAGATTATAGTCTCTGTAGCAAGACCCTTGGAATTTCAAGGGTAGATGGTCAGCCTCCAGCTCTCTGAAGGGGTCTGAGATGTCAGCATCTTCACACCATCTCTCCAGCCACTCAGGCTCCCTCTCAACCCTTTGCAGCCCCCTGTTCTCCTTACATCCTGGGGAGAAGGACTCTCAGAGCTTACAAAGGCTCAGGAAGAACATCCCCATCCTCCAAGCTCCAAGTGGATCCTGGGCTCAGCCACACACACACACACACACACACACACACACACACACACACATGCACCTTTATGCTGTGCCTTTTTTTAGCATTATTACTGCCCTGCCTTGAATCCAAACACAGCTGCCACAGCACTGGGCAGAGGTAGCTCTGGGTGTGGCTGGCTGCAGATAGGTGGGTACTTGCCATGGGACCTTGAACAGGAGCTCTGCTCTGCCTAGGAGGCAGGTCCAAAGGTGCCTGGTCCCAGTCCCTTGGGCTAAGACTTGTTGCTTCATCTACTGCCCCTACTCCAGGTCCTTCTACTAAGGGACGCCTGAGGTCATAGGTGCAGGTAAGGGTCTCAGAGAGTCTTCCTACCTGCTCACCAAATAGATTTCTGCATCTGGGAATACTAAAAGTCAAGAGAGTGGATGGCACTCTCCCCAATCTGCAGATGAGGAAACTGAAGCCCAGGGACAAAATGACTTGCCCATGATCCCATCACTAATTTGGCAAAGGTGAGACCCCTCTTTTTCTCTTAGGCCTTCTAAGCTCTATCCTGTTACTCACTCCATCTAGAACTCCCTCTGCATAACCAGATCTGATATGAAGACAGTTCCTGGGAGGTGGGGAGGTAAGAAAGGCTGACTTATTACAGTAGCCAGGTTGGACCTGAGTCACCCAGCCTCTGATGGGCTCCTGCAAGAACCGGGGGCTTGCTCCTCTGCATGGGCCAGGCCATGGCAAATTTCACCCTGGGTCACATTGACCTTAACCATACCAGCTCTTCAGAACCTTCACTCCTTCGCCCTGGACTGAGGAAGCAAGCTCAGGGCATGCAGGAAGTCTACTTACTGGCCTCAGGGGAGAGGCGAGCGCCCATCAGCCTGGACTCCTCGGGCTTGGTCCGTGGGTCTGGAGGAGATGGCTGGTGAAGGCCAGTGGTTAGGTTTCCAGGACTCTGAAGGTCTCCTTTTTATGTACTGCAGATCACGTTATAGGGTTGATGATTAATTTGACGTTGTCATGCACGGTGATATCCGGGAATTTCCTGATGATGTCGGCTGGCTCACAGTGGCCCTGAGAAGAGGAAGCAGGGACTGTGTATATGACTGCAGTACAGAAGGACAGCTCTGAATGCCAGTCTTTGCTCGCCTGTGAAGTACAGTTCCCCACAGCATGTTTGTAAGCACCGTTGCCCCTCCCCACCATCAGAGATTCTGGTGCCCTAGCTTGGGATAGGACCAGGGAGTTTTAAAGAGCATCCTGGGATTCTGTTATACAGCCGGCATGGAGTCTCACTACAGCAACCCCGGCATACAGATGGCACTCAGCACTACTGAAGCAGGCTACACTGAATGAGCTAAATCCTCCTGTGGAGTTGAGCCTGCCCTGAGTCTGGAGTGCAAAAGAGAGGACTCAGCAGAACAAGGTGGGTAGTAAAAGGGATGATAGTTCCCCCAGATTATCTGGAGCTGGAATTTTCTAGAATCTACCACATATATAAATAGTGATCATACCCAAAACCTGGATCCCTCAGGTTCCCCTAGGAAAGCTCTGCTCCCCATCGCTTTCCCTTAGGAAAGTTGAGGCTCATTAAGGGAAGGGGCTTGCACCAATCCAGCACTTCTCACATGGCCTTACAAGGATCTTGTTCAAAGCAGGTTGACTCGGAAGTTCCCGGGCCCTGCAGGGATTCTGAGTTTTTAACAAGGTGGAGTGGTGGAGTTGGTTTAGGGGTCTGGAGTACCCTGGCCCTTGATCTCCAGGCTAAGTCCCTCCTGAGACCCCAGACCAGGGTGACCATCAGAGACTTCTCTGAGTCTTCTAAGGAATGAATGGTACTGGGCATGCCCCTGGGGGACCTGGGAATGGAAGTGCCCTGGACAGGACTGGGAGATTGGCTAGGGTAAGACGTGGGGACTTGGAGACCCAGGTTCTGCCCCTGTGTTTCCTTATGCAGACCCCTTCCTATTCTTGAGCTCTGGAGTCCCCAAATTATAAAATAGGGAGCCAGGATGTATTGGTCTGGGGACCCCCTTCCAGCCAGTATACTGTACCTTTAATCACAGAGAGACAGACAGACAGAAGAGAGAAAAGATGAGAGAGGTGGGGAGGCAGCAGCCTGCCTCTGGGGACCTCAACAACGATGCAACCCTGGATTTTCTCATTCCTGGACCTGTGCCAGGTGCCTTCGGTTTCTGCTCTGGAAGCTGCCTGACAAGGTCAAAGGCAGCTGTTCACGAGTCAGAAGCAATCAAACCAGCTAGAGGCCAATGGGTCTTGAAGGCTGCTGTTGGCCCAGCATCATGGTTTATGGCCCTAGCCAGTCCAGTCTTAGGGTTTCAGGCTCCTGGCACCCCCTGGCAGACACATTAGTCTCTGGGTGTTGCTGAATGCTCCTCCCCTGCTCCTTGCTGATAAACCACATTCCCTAAGGGAGGTGTGTGCAGTACCTTATCAGGAGCCAGGTCTGCGGCTTCAGCCTTTATGGAAACTTACTGGGCAAAGTGTAAGGCAGACAGGCAGTATGGTTTCTCAGGCAGGGGGAAGCCAAGGGACAGAAAAGCCAGGCAGTCCCCACCACCAACACCCATGTGAATTTAGCTAACCCACTAATGGGTTCAGAACATGCTGTAACCAGGCATCCTGCACTTGGGAGGTAGCAGGAACAGCAGGGTCCCTCTCTCTCTCTCTGACCTCACCCTTCTCCCCTGAATTCAGTCCTAAAACCCTCATGGTATGCTTTCTTCTGAAGACAGGACAGGGGAGAATCTGAACAAAGAGGCCCACTTTCTCACTGTTTGTTCCCGTACCCTTCACAGCAAGATTCTACCGCAGACAGCAGTATATCTGGTTACCCTCTCCCTCTCCTCTTCAGACCCAGTGTACAAGTATACAGACTTCCTATTTCTTTGTTTTATAAAAAAAATCTTACTATTTTTATTTTATGTGTATAAGTGCACCAGTGTCATGCAGTGCCCAAAGAGGTCAGAAGAGAGGCCCTGGAACTGGAGTTACAGACTGTTGTTAACAACCATGTAGGTGCTGGGAATCGAACCCCGGTCTTCTACAACAGCGGCCAGTGCTCTTAACCTAAGTCATGTCTCCAGCCCTTTTTTTTATTGCACTTTTGTACATTTCATACAATAGTTCTTTAACATTTTATTTTTTTTTATTTTATGTGTATGAGTGTATTGCCTGCGTGTGTGTAAGTGCACCCGTGTCATGCAATGCCCATGGAGGTCAGAAAAAGGCATCAGATTCCCCCAGAACTGCAGTTATGGATGGTTGTTAGCTACCATGTAGGTGCTGGGAATTGAACCCGGGTCTTCTGCAAGAGCAGCCAGTGCTCTTAACCGCTGAGCCATCTCTCCAGCCTTTTCATACAATAGTTCTTAATCAAATTTAGACCCCCTTATTCATGCCCCCCCACTCCCCATGGAATCTCATGCATTCCACCATACATATTAAGTCCCATCCGGTCAAGCATTTGTACCTAGATGTTCTTGGGTTCAAGTTCATCCACTGGAGTCTACCTAGTCAGCCTATCTAGAGATCTTAAGGAAGGGCTCATGTATCCCAGGCTGACCTTGAACTCATTATGTAACTGAGGATGACGTCAAACTTGAGATCCTCCTGCCTCCATCCCCCTACATGCTGAGATTACAGCCGACACTACACCCTTAGCTTTACGCAGTGCTAGGGATCTAAACTGGGGCTTAAGAGCCAGTGAGATGGCTCAGTGGGTAAAGGCACCTGCCGACCAGAGTTGCATCTCCAGGATCCACAATAGTGGCTGGAGAGCACCAACACACACACACACACACACACACACACACACACACATGCACACGCACACACACACACACGCACACAAAATAAATGAATGTTCTTAACTGTTGAGCCATCTCTCCAGCTCCTAAACAAAGGTGCTTTACAACAGAGATACTGGTGTGTACCGTCTCACCGTTCCTGTCAGTCACACGACCAGCCCACAAGCCCATCAATGGATAAGGAATAAGATCAGAACTGGAGCTCAGTGTTAGGCGACAAAAGTCGGGCTCAGGAAGATAAATAGCACCTATTTTTTCTCACATGCAGAATGTACATTTAAGAAAATAAGACACAGTGGGGCTGGAGAGATGGCTCAGCGGTTAAGAGCACTGACTGCTCTTGCAGAGGACACGGGTTCAATTCCCAGCACCCACATGGCAGCTTCGAACCATCCTTAACTCCAGTTCCAGGGGAATCCAAAGTCCTCTTCTGACCTCCATGGCATTGCACGACACGGGTGCACTCACATACATGTAGGCAATACACTCATATACATAAAAATAAAAATAATAAAGAAAATATTAAAAAAGAAAAGAAGACACAGTGGCCTGGAGAGATGGCTCAGTGGTTAAGACCACTGGCTGCTCTTGCAGAGGACCCAGGTTCAGTTCCCAGCACTACCATGGCAGCTAACAACCATCCATAATTCCAGTTCCAGAGGACACAACGCCTTTTCTGACCTCTGCAGTGATTACACAACACAGTGCACTTACATACATGCAGGCATTACACTCACACACATAAACTAAAAATAATAAATAAAATACTAAAAAGAAAAGAATGGGGCTGGAGAGATGACTCAGCAATTAAGAGCTCTTACTGCTCTTGCAGAGGATCCAAGTTCAGTTCCCAGCATCCACATCAGGTGGTTCACAACTGCCTGTCACTCTAGCTCCAGGGGGTCCTGACACCTATGCCCTCTGTGGGCACATGCACTCATGTGCAAATACCCACACACAGACACCATGCATACACATAATTAAAACAAAAATAAATATTTGTTAAAAGAGAAAGAAAACAAGACATGTACCTCTGTAGGTTGTAGCTCAGTGACAGGTCACTTGACTGATATGCATGAGGTCCTGAGTTCAATCCCTGGCAGTGGCAACAAAACTAAAACAGAACAAAACATGAAAGTGGAAGGGACTATACGTGGGTAGTAGCATTTTTGTTGTTTTGAGATAGATTTGTCTCTGTAGCCCAGGCTGGCGTGAAATTTGCAGGAATTTTCCTGTCTCAATCTCTCAAGTACTAGGCTCATGGGCGTGGGCTTCCATGCTCAGCTTGAAGGAACTCTGAAAAGAGGAAGGGGACCTGTTGGGGAGATGAGGGAGGGGCAGGGGGCAGGAGAAGGTAATGGAGGTTGAATATGATCAGAGCACATTGCATACACATATGAAAATAGCGTAGCATAATGAAACCAGTGTTTTGCACAGCGAATATTTGCAAATAAAAGGGCATCTGGCTTCTCCTGCCAATCTGTCTTACATCATAGGCATCCCGGACACACACCTTGTGACACAGAGGAGAGAGAGAATGCTGTTCCTACAAAAGACACTGCTACTGTAAGCATATTAACGAACTAACGTGACAGTCCTTGTGGAGTGTCCTCAGAAAGGTTCTATTTATTATAATCATTTCCATTTTATAGAGGAGCAAACTGAGGCACAAAGAGGGTAAGCAAGGCCAGCCAGATGGCTCGGCAGGTAAAGGTGCTTGTCACATAAGCCTGGAAACCTGAGTTGGATCCCCCAAACCTGCATACAGGTGAAAAGAGAAAACCTACTCCAGAAGCTATCCTCTGACCTCCACTCAGACCCCCCACATCACACACACACACAATAATAAAGAATACACAAGGATAAGCAGCTTCCTTGTAATAGCAAGACAATAATCATCAGATCTAGGATCTGGCCCAGGTCTTGTAGCTCAGGAGCTGATGCCTTGCTGGTGATGTGGCACAAGCCTATGATCATGGGCACCTGGGAGGTGGAGGCAAGAGGATGAAGAAGGAGGTCAAGGTCATCCTTAGTCATATAGCGAGGATGAGGCCAGCCTGTACTACATGAGACTCTTGTCTCAGAGAAGAAAAGAAGAAG